CCCTGTACCTTTCTACAGGTTGCCCTGGCCCTGGAGCTCTACATCTCTGACGAGCAGTCACCAGCCACATCGACCTGATCAGTGTTTCATTATTTGTTGTATCTTGTTGCTTTTCTTCTTTTGTCTCTCCTCTATCCACTCACCCCAACCGGTCGAGGCAGAAGGCCGCCCACCAAGAGCCGGGGTCTGTCGGAGGTTTCTTCCGTTAAAGGGAGTTTTTCCTCCTCACTGTCGCCAAGTGCTTGCTCAAGAGGGGTTGTTGGGTTTTCCCTATGTAATAATATTGATAACAGTAAGGTCTAGACCTTACTTTGTAAAGTGTCCTGAGATGACTTTTGTTGTGATTTGGCACTATACAAATAAAATTTGACTTGATTTGATATTATATCAAATGGAGAGATTATGCAGTCAGTGATTCTTGAATGAAAAATATCTTGAACTTTTTAAATGGCTGCTTAGTGGGTGTGAGGTTCACTGGGGTCAGCAGCCTGCTGGCATCTCCATGAACTTTTAGAGATGAAGCCCTGAGGGAAACTGGCACCAGTATGGCAGTATGGGGAGGGGGTTATACAGAGAAGCAAGTGCGACAATCTGTCAGTCTGTGCAGACCACTAGTCCCTGAGGAGGGAGAGTGGGTGGAGGTAAGAGGGCTGCTGTGTTTAATGCCTATATGTGTGTGGGCGACTTTGAGCATAGAGAGAAATGTGTGTATTGATGTGAGAAGAAGAGCGTGCAAACACCGCATGCGGTGTGTTTGCACATGTAAGACACAAAACAGATGCTTAAAAAAGAAAAAGAATAGAGTCAAAGCACACAGCCAACAGCTGGGAGGCTACAAATGATACTCTGGTGACACGTGGGGCCGGAAGTAGGACTGGGGTGTAGTGTGTGCAGCAAGACAGCTGCTTGTTGTATTTTCCCCACACCCCTCCCACACACCTTTTTTATTACCCCTCTCACACACACACACACACACACACACACACACACACGGGCACTCACATGCACTTGCCCACACAGACACCTCCAAAGCCCAGCTGGCCAGCATCTGATGACAGAGAACAGCTGGAGTAAAGGCAGTCAGTCACACCCTGGGAGACAAAAGCTGCCTGAAACCACACAATGCCAGCTTCAAAAACACAGCAGCAAGAGAAAAACCTTTAGTGAAAAGTCCAAAATCCACAGTTCTGCTGCACCATCTCGAGAGGATCTTAAGCTACCTTATGTGCAGCATAATCACTATTATATATTACAATAATCAGTAATATTAAAGAGGTCAAAAGGTTATTGTTGCAAATATGTCTGTCAACATGTTTGAACCAGAAAAGCTGTTCTCTGTTTCATTTAAACATCAATTTATGAAGCAAAGAGGTCTAAAATCATTTACTCTGTGGGGGAAACATGCTCTTCTTTCTCTAAATTCAAGACTTATTTACAGTGCTACTGCACATACTACCTTGTACAGAACAACCCAGTGGTCACACTACCTGCTCCAAGTGGTAAAACATCTCTGGAGCAAAACCAACGTTTAAATGCTTCCACAGGTGACGCTGCTGTGCTCTGCTTCTTCTTCCTTGGACACAGTGTTAACTCTGCTGTGCAAGCTGGGGCAGCAAGCAGCACATTGTTAACGTTGGATTTATAGGCTTTACCTATTTCATAAATGTTGAACTTCAACACTGGCTTTGACCCAGACAAACATGTATCATTCTGGGACAGGCAGACTTCTGGGAGATCACTGAAATACCTTTAAAGATACAACTTGCTGCTGTAATGCAGGTAATAAAATAACATTTTAACTTCGCCTGTTAAGGTTTACGTAAAGGATGCTATTTGACAGAATCAGAGTAACATAGAGAGTGCTGAGGTTACAGATGGGGAGGATTATATCCTCTTTCAAATCTTAAATTGCATCACAATGCATTGTATATAGTTTGTGACATTTCTACACATGCCTATAGGATTACTGTACTTATCATTATATATTATGCATAACACTCTTATTTAATCTCCTGGAACTGATCAATCATTCTGAATTCTCTGTGTATTATTCCTGATTTGCTTGACTTGTATATTCAAAAGAATGCGTCCATGTATAAACACCAGCACCAGTTTCCCACATATGTGGGTCATAAAAATGAAAATAAAGCAAGACATGTACTGTAAATGTGTAAAGCATCTGTATCATACCAATCTTAAGTACAAGCTGTGTTTATGCAACCTCCATCATAACACTTAGACTGGCATTCAACATTTCTCCAACACTGGGCTAAGTCACTGGCCACACACTAAGATGACTGCTTAGACCCTACTGAGTCACAGATGACATCCTGTTGTCCCATTGTCTCCCAACTGTAACCTGACACTCAGCCCCTGGTCACAACACCTGTGCCTTGGCTTAATGCTCAATAGGGCATGGGAGAGAGATAAAGTGAGAGAGGCAGTCTGTAATCTGAACTTAATGATAAAAACACCGGTGGGCTCGGTAATGGGCTTGTAATCGGAGCTGGAAAATGGCAGGCTGCTTCAATAAGGAAGCATAGTGGTCATAGAGAGGGCAATGAAAGCTTAGCCTTCACTCATTTAGAACTCATTCAGCCATCGCCTGATGCCAGATAAAAGGGTTAAAGCACCGCGAACCTGGAGACCTGGTCGTATTGACACATCGCCTGCTCAGCGATGGCCATTTAGCTGGCTGGTGTTGGGTGGTGTCATAAGCTTTTAAGCAGACTGAAGCTGCCGTGTGTTTCAATCACAAAGCCCACATCCTTCCCAGCAGATATACATTTGATACAGCTGATGGCAACTGTTTACGCTGCAGAATAAAGCCTGTTCATTATGAAGCGTCCTTACCCACATACTGCTCCACATCTTTCACAGAGAAAGTAGGGGGTGGAAGTTTGAGCCCCAGGCCCTCCATGTCAGTGACCACTATAGGGTAGTTGAAGCCATGTCTCTCCAGGTACCTGGTCGTCACCTGCTCACCCTTCATCCGGATCAGAATCTCCTCAGCACTGAAACAAGATCGTAACATTCACTCAACTTAAGCTGTTTCCATTTCATTAACATCACGACTCCTTACAGAGTTTACAAAACAGAACATTTTAGATAAGCAACATTCGTCACTTTCACAAGGATTATTTTTGCTTACTTTTAAAAGGGTGTTTGGTTTAAAAAAAAAAAAAAAAAAAAAAAAAAAAAAAAGTCAACTCTTGCTGACCGTGAAGACAATGTTAAACTTAAAAAAAAAAAAAAGAACCAATATCGGGTGGGGGAAAATTACAATTGGTGCATCTCTACTTGCTATAACTACTGTTCTCAGATTCAGTGAATAAAAAAAGTAAACATGACTACTACATATCAAAAGTCTCTTATTTTAACAATGAGTAACACACAGTACCTGGATGCAACTCCAGTTCTACAGTACAGATATTTTCATAGCCAGAACTAACTTAATGAAAGAACATTACTGTGATGGATACTAATAAATCACAATATAGTGCAGAGCTGCTATCAGCAGGTCAAATCAGCAGATAAGAACGAGGCTTAACCCTTGGTTGATGGGTAAACAGGCACTGCAAATTATAACTAAGAGTACATGCGCCCAAACTGATATCTACCTGGCAAAGCTCCTGTTCTGTAGCTCCTTGATAAACACTGGCGTGCCAGCCTGCACCGGCCTCGATCCATCATCTGGCTCTGTGTAGTCGTGCCTGTGCCAGTTGTTGCGCTTTTTCACTGCAAACAGAGACGTTAGAGGTTGATAGGACTGTTTCTTTCTGTTTTATCATGTCGTTGTCCTGTTGAAGCTCATTCTCCCAACTAAGTGGTAAATTATGCACATCAGCACCACATTTTGTAAGGACATTAATTCACTACTCAAACCCTGCGCTAAGAGACGGAGGAGCTTGCTCAATCAAAGTGGAGGGTTTACAACACCATTCAATTAGGCTGTTAATGCCGCCCCCACACAAAAAAAAAAAGATATAAATCAGACTTGACTAACACTGCAGAGAGTGGCCTTTTCCCTCTGGGACCAGTCCAACAGACAGAGACAGAGGTGGGAGGGGGAAACACTGAATGGTAAGAGAGTCAGACATGTAAATGTAAGGCTGAGAATCAGAGGACACCATGTGATAAATGAGTCACATGTTAGGATCGAGGAAAGGGGGGCAGCCTACATGAGGTAAAACAGAAAAAGGAAACAATATTACTAATGCCAGAAAGCGTTACTCACTCAGGGAGGGTCCGTGTACAACATCACAGTTGGGACAGTGGTAAACGTCAATATCCACAGCATGATGCTCTTCTACCTGCACACAGCTGGAGATGGACAGAAACTCCCAAGTTAGGATTCAGGAGTTCTCCAACATGCTGATTCATTTAAGACACTTTCAATGTGGTTTTCAGAAAGTGCAAAGAATGTTGAATCAGTATGTGTCAGTGTGAAGAATGGGATGAAATATTTCTTAGTAAACGTAGGTAGTGATCAATAATAAGTCTCATAAAAGCATAATTTCCAGGGCTGACAACATTTAAGGGCACCCTGGTGTCCCTTACTTGGCCTTCAAGTTAAAACAGATTAATTATACCCAAGTTAATGTCAAACCTTGTCAAACACCATGTATGTATATGAGAGGAGAAGTTACAGGTTTGGGATAAACACCAGTGTTGTTTTAAGGTCTGTGGTAATAATGTAACTGGCCTTAGTGCTAATGCTGCATTCATATCCTACTGTTTCAACCAAATGGGCTTGACAAATAGGCCAAGTCAGAAAAACCGGTGACATAAGTTCTGATTCAGATTTGCAGATACCAGGCATTTCTGATAACTCCCCTATGTTAAAGAACCACAGAAATCACATCAGCTGGCAGTTACTTATAAGTAAAATCAATTATTAACATTAATGCAAATTGTTCTGTTAATTTAAAAGTTAAAACATTTGTTTCTATCTGATTTCACACTATTAAACTAATCCAAATAACTAATGTAGCCAGTGTAACTAATTTCAGCTATTTAAAAGTGCAAGAACTAGGATTTTAAGGATAAGGATAATAGGAGGATAATCATCTTTATTGGCCAAATATGTTACACACAAGGAATTTGTTTCCAGTACAGAACCGATGGCAGCCATCTGCGGCGCCACCTCAACCCATGGCTCTAACCATCGGGGGCAACGGGGGGGTTCAGTGTCTTGCCCAAGGACACTTCAACACATGGACGGGAGGCACCGAGATTCAAACCTTCAACCTTCTGGTTGGGAGACGACTGCTGTACCCACCGCACCACTGTCGCATTTATGAAAATGCAGCATGTGTCTCCTCAGCATTTTACCAGACACACACAAAAGCACAACTGAAGTCAACACAACATCACATAAGTAACATCTTCCTCAACTAATCAGCTTAATCTGAAGGTGATCAATCATTTTTAAGACCCAACAAAATCATATTTCAGGCTTTTTAAGGACGTTTGCTGCACCTGATTTTACTGCAATTAAACTAAAGTGTGTTTAACTCCACAGCCAGCTGCCACCTTCCTGACAAACCAGCCTGAACCCTGACCGTGGTTTACTTTTCTTTTAATTCATTGTCCGTGGGTGGGGCTACCTTCTTAGCAGGTCTGTCAAAGGGTCCCCCACAGGCCTTACAGCCTTACATGCGAGGTGAATCCTAATTCCCCTATTTTATTGTTCTGTCCTCGACAGACACAGAAGTCATCCTGGTCCACCATGATGAAGGATGACCCAAAGCTCTTATTTCTGCTCTGAGGACCGAGAAGGCTGCCTGGAGGAGCCATGGCCGAGGATACATGAGTGCATCCTTTGCCGAAGTCTGTTATGGATTGACACACTCCTTTATTAGAAATCAGTTTGTGATTGAACGCTTCACATGAAGAGATGTCTCGGGTCAGTTAAAAAGTTTCCTTGTAGTTTCTCCTTGCGTCTTACATGAAAAAGTTGCCTTGTAGTTTCTCCTTGCATCTTACATGGACAAGAGAATTGGGATTCACATATTGATTGATGAATCAAGTGAAAATAGGACAGGATGTGGTGTGCCCTAGACCCTCTGGGCTAAAGAGAAATTAGGTAGAGTAGCTTTAACTAATGTTCCTAGTGGTGTGAGTAACCATCTTGGAATAAGCGGGAACACTCCCAAGACAAAATAATGGAGGGTTTCCTATTCTGCTGACATTGCATGAGTTCAGCACCTTGCTGAGCACCAACTGCTTGTACACATGGTGAGTTTCGTCTCTGACTCACGGTTTCTCCCATGGATCTGTAAGTGTCACTCACACCACTACCCCCGACTGTCCTGCAACAGCCAAACCACAGGCACCAACACACATGCATTCCTCTGTTGCATACCAAAGCAGCAATGGTTGAACTGCAACCAAGCTGCCATTCAGTATGAAAGGATGTCAAAGACTATTTAGAGTAAGAAAAACTGCAAGCTGCACGTTTGTGTCACTCAAGCATGTGCACAGGACATTTTTACAGTTAAGTGATGTGCACAAAGAGGTGGAGAGGTCACACACAAAGGGCCCACTGTGTTTAACAGGCCACATGTTATGAAGTGATTTGAGGTCTGAAGACAATTATATTTTACAAGATCAAATCATATGTCCCCATTTGAACTGGAAATGTCTGTTGCTTGGCCTTTCTTAAAGCTTTGCCTGCTTACATGCACAAACACCATCACATTGAAAACCTGGCTGTGGGACAGCCTTGATAACGTATAGCTTGAAAAATCTGATTTGAAGCCAAATGCATCCAGACTGGCTACATGTTCACATGACAGAGGCCAATGCAATTATTTCCCTCCCTGTGCTTGTTCAAGAAACATGCTACTAAGTACCATTAGCTCTGTGATGGCTGACCCCAAGGAAGGAATTACATCATGTAAGCATAACTAAACTGCACTGACTTGAAACTTAGTATTCACCATTTCAAACATGTTGTAAGACTATATGGTTCTTGTTACCATTGCTAACTCTGAGAGACGAGACAGTCCAAGTAACTTCAAAACAGTGCTGATTTATTCAAAGGATCACAGGTAAAATTAACATTACACGCTCAAGTATCTTGCACCTCCACCATGCACGCAGGCAAATGTAAGATGGAAAACCCTGAGCCCACCAGGCCTATACATTTTATCCCCTCGGTTGGGCTAGCCCCATACTACCCAGAAACGTCAACCGAGACGTCTCTGTTACCAGCTTTGCAGCTGGTCATAGCAGTAGTCAAAACATGAAGCAAATCAATGTGTGTGTGTCTGTTGGTTAAGTGGTGTGTAGCTAAAAACATTCTCACGACCTCTAGTAACATGTCGTGGCTTAAACATAAGAACCTATTATGGCTAAGGCTACAGTTATACACGTCATAATAATAATATTAAACACCCTGTCTGCTGACAGTCATCAACTCTTCTCTCTAGTTATCCTTGACCAGATGTACCCTGTAGAAACTCATAAGCATGACTAAGCATTTAACAGTCTAACTAGACATCCTATCTCCACTAAACATTTCTAATACATAAAGTATCTATCCAATTTCTATCTGACTAAAAATACCTAACAGTGCCATTAGCATCGGTGATGGCTGACCCCAAGGAAGGAATTACACCATGTAAGCATAACTAAACTGCACTGACTTGAAACTTAGTATTCACCATTTCAAACAATCATCAACTGCTTCAAGTTGGTTGCTAGCATTGACCTACTGATGGGGTACAAAAGATGGATGTGTTGCTGCTATATCCTCTGCTTTTAAAAACCCACCACACAACACACAGGAGCCTGCTATCGGCTTTAGTACAAGGAGCTGCAGGAAGGTGTAATGGAAATAAAGCCGAGGGTCATTAACTTATCAGGTAATGGTGACCTCATGTGAATCCTTGACCATCACCCCAGTACACAAACAGGATATCAACAGTAGTTTCCTGCCAACTGACCACATACAACCTGATGCTCTTATTGGCTGCAAAGCAAACATTTACATAGTTGCAAAGAGGATAATTCCTAATCTAAACACACGTTAGTTACATTTCTACTAAGTTGGGTTAAAGAGCCCCAACCTGCCTTTAGCTGCCATAATCATCCTACTAAAACAAACTAACAGCTTTAGTAACCGATCGAATATTTGTTTTGTCCTTAAGTAGGCCCATTTGTGACAGAGGCATCCCTCTTACTTTTGCCTACACATACCATAGGAAAAAAACTATGAAAATACAGTAGGGAACAAGAAAGCTCAAAGAAGCACTCCTGCTCCTGCACGTGAGCAAACAGATGACCAACAATAACACTGCACAGTGCTTGGCAGTAGTGTTAGGCCTAGCTCACATTCCTGGTTCAAACATGTGGCTGTTTGCTGGGGGAAAGCATGAGTCACACTTTTCTGCTGCCGGGTTTGAGATGTGCGAGCAGCATGTGCTCAGCTGCAGTGACCTCGTTGTCCTCATTACACTTGGTACTTTCTATTATATAGTAAGAAACTGGGGCAATGTGCTGCACTTGCTGGCCTGACTCAGCATACGCGTCACCTGTAATGAAGGCACCCAGGCTTGTGAAACTGTGTGGGCTTGAGACAAAATATAAACTAAAGAAAAAAGGGTGTGGGGTGGGCAAAGTATTTCCTGCCTTGTTCAGGCTTGATGGTGTATTGCATCATTGCAAAGCTGGTGAGTTTGCCCAAAGTTCTTGAAGGAATGTGAATCTTATCTGCTTGCAAGGCAATCGGTGTGAGGATCAGATTGAACAGACCTCAGCCTTAAACTTATTGAGATAGTGTTATCCTATGTTGTAGAACAAAACACAGCATATTTTAATAGGAAGTGACAGAGAGTACTGTCAATGTTCAACAAAGACAGACACAAAGCCTCTTCTTATTCCAACCAAAGGGTTGTTCTGTGACGGCACTGCAGCAGATTACCAAGCAAAATATCCCTTCCTGAATGTGAGGAGATCTGTGTACTTGGCTAAACCCCCTGCCATCAACAGCCCCTCTCCCCTTCACTTCCTCTCATCAAGGGCCTCCTTCCTGTGTGACTGAGACAGCTTATTCATTAGTCCACGCACTGTGAGGGGGTTCATTGTCCTCAATGATCAGTGCAGAAACACAAAAGCTAGAGGTGGGCATGGCCATTATTTTAAGTTCTAAATAACTGCTCTGTATGGGGCAGTGACACGCCTACATTAGTGAGCTGGCAGATCCCTAATGGATGGCTGCTAGAGTTAGAGAGAGGAGATGAGGACAGTTTAACACACCTGGCTATCTTTATCTGCCCCAGAGGAGAACCTCACTCCCCTGGCCCCATTTCCTGAGACATTCAGCCAAAGTTTGCATCAACACAGGCACTGACACAAAATGACACAGGTCATTTTGGCTTTACTGGTAAAATCATGGCAGCTAGCTAAGCGAAACAGTGGCCTAACACCCCTGCAGTGGTTACAGCTTGAAGGAGGCTGTGGGCCTCTCTCTGCAGTCAGCTGGTAAACAACAAAGGAGGATCACTTTGTTGTTTATGGGGCATCAGGGAGCCCCGGGGAGTTTTAACAGCTTAATTGTTTTTAGTGCAGGTTGAACTGCACTGAGGCTCCTAGCACTGGGGCTCCGCTTTCACACATTACCAACATGGTTGTCCTAATACCCCCAGTGCCCCTGTAAAACCGACAAAGGCATCAGTCTTGATACTGTCTGCTGCTGAAATACATCAATAAGCCAACTCAGTCCAAAAGCCAGTTGGCCTTTGGATGAGTGCAATCCTCTATGCTTGTCAAAAAGTCCCCCCAGAAAAAAAGAATTACAAAGAGGTTATTATTCTGAACATAAGGTGAGAAAGTAGTAAATGGTTTAAGCTGTCCATTTCATATTTAAGTCAGTCATCGATTGATTAGTGTTTGTGTTATGATGCTGAGAGAACCAAGTTTATTCCTAAATTAGATATCTGATTATAAAGATTTCCAAACCAACCACTGAACTACAAGGCAAAAGTGCTATATCTTCAATATCTTAATTCAAAATGACTGGTAATCAATAAATGAGGCTGTTGACCCCTAATCAACATTGATCAAATGAAAGGTAATGCAGTTTGCCTGCCCCCCAGAGAGGGCCTTGCTAATGAGTGTAAACACAGCTTTTAACAGGAGCTATAAGGCCGCTCTTTGACCAATTAACTTATCAGACATCTAAACCAGATCTGAAACAGCGGCTGAAAAAGAAGGATCCACTTGTCCACTTAGCGTTAACACTGAAAAGGCACTCTGCACGTGCAATTGCCCCCTTTAGTGTCCACACTGTGGGCAACATTGACGGATCACACATTAAACTTGGCTCGCTGGAGCTGCCATCAATCTTTCCCTCTGTCCCATCAAGCCCCA